CCTAATACTCAAAATCAAGGGACCTCTGAAGGTGTGTTTGGTTAAATGTAAGACATCTGGCATCATTTGCAGCACTGTAACACCTTCAGTCTCAGTTGTGCAATTACTTCTGTTTCTTTAGTCAGGGTCTTTGCAGATTCCAAAGTTGTATAAGAATACATCAAAGTGGACAAATTTTGTTAAGATCCCATTTAATATTTGAAGAAATCAGTAACACAAATATATTTTGATTGTTGCTTACAAAATAAAATACATTTACAATCTATGTCTCCTGAGGTTTTTTGGCACTGGGTGGAATTGACAGAATAACATTTGACAGTGCTCTCGAAATCTCACACAAAGATACGTTTCTCTTTGCAATTTAAGATCTTATAACACATAAAACATCAATGTGATAACAAAACTTAACAAATGTAAAGTCATTGCCATTAAGGAGTTGCTACACCATTAGTGAATAACCCGGAAAAAAATGTTGACATATTTTATTAAAAGTATCTGTGGCAAATTAATATTGTATAATCAATATCTTAACATATTATACTTTCCAGGGTTTCAGGAGAGTACATTTAAGAAGAAAAAGAGGCAATGTTAATTCAGACTTTTTTTTTTTTTTTTTTAAAGAGTACATTCTACCAATGTTGAGACTATCTAGGAGTTGCCTGCTGCAAACTCCACTAGACTTTTAGCTAAGACTGCCATAGAAGGTAATATAATCTCTTCAAAGCAAATTAAGAAAAGTCACCATAATGTGAGTTTAGTATCATGAGAACGTAAGAAATAATTTGTTGTTGTTTTCTCTCATCTTTCCCAAATTAACTTGAAAGTACTCAGTTTTCTGAGAAAGACAAAAATTTGACTAATGGCAGGTTTTATAGATGACCTTATCCCTCAATCTGTTTCTAACCCGATACACATAAATAACTGCCCCTGTTAATACTCATGGCACAGCACCATTCTGGGTACACCAAGGAGTATGGGAAAACATGAAGGTAGATTTAATTCTTGTTTGTACCCTTTGTGAAAATATGGTAAAAATGTTTGTTTCTAAGGCTTCATTAAAAGAGGGTTTTACTTTGGGGACTGGAATTTAGACTTCACCCCTACCAGAGGTGGTAGAAATGTGGTAGACCAAATTACTGTCCTATTTGAAAAATTCCCAGGCTCTTATTGGTTGCCTAATGAACAGTTACCAGAAACTAAAAGTAGAAATGGCTTAAGTTCCCACTGTGTTTCACAGTCTCTTTTTTGGTGGAATAAGAGGTATTCTGAGCATTTGTTTGTCCTGTGGCTTTTTCTCTTATATATAGTCATAGTATGTTTTATGTAGGACATGTAATATGTATTAATTTAATTGCTGAGATTACAACAGCTAACCTTTTACAATTAAAATGTAAGTGGAAGTTAGCAGAAGTTTTCCTTTTGCCTAATTTAATCTTGTGTGCAGACTTTTTTGGGGTACATGATTTTTCCCTTTACATAAATAGGGTTCTATGGTTTATTTCACAGATATTCATTAGAGCTAGCCAAGATTTTTTTCATACAGTATGCCCTTAGAAGAAGGCCTCAATAATCTGGAGGCTCTTCTCAACATTCCATTTGAAATACTTCCTTTTGTTTTTCATTTTATTCTGCTGAAAACATCTCCTGAGGTTGCTTGCACAATGCCTGCCTTTTGTTCTTATTTGATCACCTCACCATCTTGCACTCCCCACAGCCAGTACCACTTTCTCCTACTTGGTTCATGTTGGAAACATTCCCAATTTCAAAACCTCACCAGGATCCCTCCTAGTAAAAACCTGCATTTTCTTTTGAGATTTGGAATGGATGAAAATTAGGATGCCCTGAGTCTTGTTGAACACTTTTGTCCTGGAATGTACAGCTATTTTAGCAGCAGTCTGGTGGCTCAGGTCCAGTTGGGCATTGAAATGACTTATTTAATCACAAGCTCAATAAGGTGTGTATGTGCTTATGTGCGCATTTTTACCCATCTATTATGCAGCGTTAAAGCAGCGCAAGAACCCAAACTCCTGCTTGCCTCTAGTACAGAGATATCCCTGCTTTCCTCTTTGACTAACATGGGGCCACTGAAAGCTCCAACCTCAATATATAGTGTGATCTGCCTGGACCAGGAGCACCTGGCTTTTCTGGGAGCTCATTATATATACACAATCCAGGCCCCCACTCCAGACCTGAATCGAAAATCAAGAATCCTGGCGTGGTTCACATGCACTTTAAAGTCTGAGAATCCCTGCTGCATGCAAGTATGGCTCAAGAGCAGGTGTGCTGATCTTGAGGAAAGTTAGTTTTCCCTTTTAAGCTTATGTAAGTTCAAGATACAGCCTGTAATGAGGAATCACTGAATTTAGTACTGATAATCTAAAGTCAGAATGCACATTTATCTCCTATTCCGATTCCTTAAAAACTGAGGAAGGTGCACTCTATTCCCTTTCTACACTTTAACATTTCAGTTTTGCATTCTTCATTCTTTAAAAAGTTAATTCAGGATGCCACGAATGAGAACATGAGAACGCCTTCAAGAGCCTTTTTGGCTACCAACTTAAGGCTCTTGTCCCACTGAGAAAGGGGTGGAGGGTAACCTTGGAAGCAGGGGATAGAGAGGCGCTCAGACACAAAGAAGTTAATGGTCGAAGAAAGGAGAAAACAAGAATAGCCAAAGTTGGGCAAAAACCACTCAGGAGAAATGGTGGTGAAAGGTAAAGGGCAGAAAAAACAAGTGTCAAATAGTGTCATAGCTCCTGTCCCCTCCCCCGCACCCGGATGCCTGAACAGCCAAGGCCCTGCTTGTTGACGAAGCTTCATGGCCAGGAGCTGAGATTTGCTTCCGAAGAGAAAAATGGGCCTGGCTGTATTTTTCTCTCAGAAAACTGTCTCGGCTTCAGTCGGACATCTGGTCACCCACTTGTCCAGCCCAGAGCCTCGGCGCTGGCTGGCTCGTGGCGCCCTGCTGGAGGCCACAGCTGCTGCCCTCTGCAGCCAAGGCGCCCAGCCCGCCTTGGGGGGTTGGGGGGACTCAGGCTGGGCTCCGCGCTGACCGTTCGGCCCACTGAGGCAGCGCTCTTTAAAAAGGCGCCCGCCTAGGCGGAAGTCGAGTCTGGTTAACCCCTCTCTGCCCAAGTCTAGGACCCACCCAACGTCCCCAGAGCCGCTCTCCGTCAGGCAGGTGCCGAACCCCGAGGAGGACTGACCGGGCGGAGGTTCCCGGGCCGTGCCTCTGCCACCACAAGAGTGTGTGCCCCTGGCGTCTGCGCCAGCGCGGCTCTCCCCAAGCTCCCTGAGTCTCCTGGGCGGCGGCTGCCTCTCGGGACCGCCGGGGAGCTGGGCAGCCTCAGCTCAGGCCGCTCGGGGACGTTAGACAATAAACCAGAGCCGGGCGGATGGCCGGGCGCGGGGAGGGCCGCTCATGCTGCCAGCCCGTGCAGCGCTCGGCGCGGAGCCCGCCCGCCTGTCGGCCAGCCTGCGGGGCCCAACTGAGCTCCCGCCGCGCTCCTCCTCCTCCTTCCCGCGCGGATCGGCGTCCCGGGGAAAGCCGCGGGAGGGCAGATTGGCGGGTGCCGCCACCGGAAGCAACTTGGGGCGGATAAAGCCTCTGTGCTCTCGGCCCTCTGGTCCAGGGCTGGGTTCCTCTCCAGAGCCAGAACTGGGAGATTTCTTCCGACATCCCAGGGTCGCTTTGGGCCTCGTGCTATTTATTTGTGCCAACATCCTTTTAAATTGGTTATGTTCTCTGTTCCTCCGCTGATTCTCCCTCATTTTAAACTTACTGGCATGTTTTTTTTTTCCTCCCCTCCAGATTATATAAACGTTGCACACACACACACACACACACACACACACACACACACACACAGACACACACACGTCTTCGGTATCGATCACTGCGTTGACACCACTTCCACTCTGTCTCCCCAGATCAGCGCTTCCAGCGAACCCATTTGCACGAGGACTGGGCCCTTTCTTTTCCTGGCGAGGCTTTTGAACCTTGTCGCCAAGCCAGTACCTCAGAGAGAAGGAAGTGCAGTGGGACGCGAGGCATGCATGGCGCCTGCCCCCAGTTAGATGCTCTTCAGATAATCGGCAACCAAGCTCGCTGATAAAATATTTAGGAAAGACCTCGTAAACATCACTGCAAATACATTAAGGCACTTCAGCCTGACAGCTTATGATTATTTCAAAACTTAAAAAGGTGATCATGGATTGTTACTGTTTCTGTGCTCAAGCAAGAAACCGAACCTTCCCGAGGTGGGTGGATGGGTGGGTGAGTTGCAGCTTTTCGCCCCCACTTCTTCCCCCCCCCCCCCCCCCCCCCCCGGCTCCCGCTCACTTTCGTCGCCGTGGCTCTCGGCAGCAGTGATTTATTTATTTATGTATGTAGTTAAAAAGGTGTGCGTTGTGGGGAGCGGTTCGCGGAGGACACGCAGGACCTGCTCACAAAGGACTGGCTCAGGTGTTTTGTGCTTCTGTATTAACTGGAAAAGACAGACTCTGGAACTTTTACAGGGCGAGAAGAGGCCACCGGCTCGCGCTTTGTATACTTTGCACTTGAAATCGTTACATTCAACTGAATATTTGGCTCATTCAGATCCGAAAAGTCTCCTAGCATCATCGAATTCCCTCCTCCGCCCCTCGGCTCGAGAGGAGGGAGGTGGGGGGAAGGTAGGAAAATGTTTAGTAAATTGCACATCTTTGAATCTTCCTAAAGCAGTGGTCACAAAGCTTAAAGGTGACACAACAGTGCTCACGTAAAGCCAACACACATTCCCCACCCCCCAAGCCAACAATAAAATCATCCCCTTCAATTTGCCATGATCGTCGCGACCAGGAGCCAGGTGATTATCCTAATTAATGTCTATCTAATTAAATTACTGTCAGCAGTTAACCAATGGCAGGAGCCGTTTCATCGGCTGCACAAGCAGCAAGATCAAAAGTGAGCCTTTTCTGATTGCTGCATAGTGTCAATTGGCCAATCTCTTCTCCCAGGGAAAAAAAAAAAGTAAATCAAACCTTTGAGAAGCATTTGCTGGTTGAAGTGCTTTCTGTCTAGTGAGGGGGTCTGTGGATTTCTAGTTTATGATAAATAGGACTTTAAAAACCAGGGACAGGAGGGCGAGTGTTCAGGTTCTAGAGCTATGCAGCTGGAGCACTGCCTTTCTCCTTCTATCATGCTCTCCAAGAAATTTCTCAATGTGAGCAGCAGCTACCCACATTCAGGCGGATCTGAGCTTGTCTTGCACGATCATCCCATTATCTCGACCACTGACAACCTGGAGAGAAGTTCACCTTTGAAAAAAATTACCAGGGGGATGACGAATCAGTCAGATACAGACAATTTTCCTGACTCCAAGGACTCACCAGGGGACGTCCAGAGAAGTAAACTCTCTCCTGTCTTGGACGGGGTCTCTGAGCTTCGTCACAGTTTCGATGGCTCTGCTGCAGATCGCTACCTCCTCTCTCAGTCCAGCCAGCCACAGTCTGCGGCCACTGCTCCCAGTGCCATGTTCCCGTACCCCGGCCAGCACGGACCGGCGCACCCCGCCTTCTCCATCGGCAGTCCCAGCCGCTACATGGCCCACCACCCGGTCATCACCAACGGAGCCTACAACAGCCTCCTGTCCAACTCCTCACCGCAGGGCTACCCCGCGGCCGGCTACCCCTACCCACAGCAGTACAGCCACTCCTACCAAGGAGCCCCGTTCTACCAGTTCTCTTCCACGCAGCCCGGACTGGTACCCGGCAAAGCGCAGGTGTACCTGTGCAACAGGCCCCTCTGGCTGAAATTTCACCGCCACCAAACGGAGATGATCATCACCAAACAGGGAAGGTAATGCTACATTCTTGGCAGTCGCTGCTCCAGGCACGGCCCGGGGGCAAGTGCGCCGGGTTGTGACTAATCCCGGTAGCGATGTTTTGGGGTCGGGAGCGGAGTGGAAGGCGCTCTGGTGCGCCCTGGAGTTGGCTGGTTTTGGAAAAAGGGAAAGTGGAAGGTATAACCGCCGCGGTGGTGTTGGTAAGGGGGTTTCCGCTCTAGAAATGTGGTCAGAGAGCCTGTCAGGGGCCGGAGAAAGGCGAAAGAGAGGGAGAGTCCGGGCCTGCAGCTGGGAAATTGTAGGGACGCATCAACACCCGGAACCAAGGACAGGTGGAGGTGCGGGTCGCCAACCTCACTCTCCACCTGGGCAGTGACACCTGCCGACTCCCCACTCCAGCTAACCCGCGGATCTCCCCGACTTCATCCTCACATCTTTTCCTCCCCCCACCACCCCTTCTCTAACCCAGCAAACATTCGCTCATCCACGCTGGAAGAACAAGTTTTGCTTTGCTATCTGGCGCCGCGCTTCTTGCATTTAATCTTTAACATTTACGTGTTTTTTTCTCTTGTTTTCTCCCCCCCCCTTAATTTAAATAGGCGCATGTTTCCTTTTTTAAGTTTTAACATTTCTGGTCTCGATCCCACGGCTCATTACAATATTTTTGTGGATGTGATTTTGGCGGATCCCAATCACTGGAGGTTTCAAGGAGGCAAATGGGTTCCTTGCGGCAAAGCGGACACCAATGTGCAAGGCAAGTCCTTCCAATTAACACATTTTCCTGACACTTATTTAGGTGAGAATGATTAATTAAAGCCTTTGTGGACTGGCTCGAGAGACTTTTAAAACGATCGGCCAATGACTTCTAAAAGGAAACGAGGGGGATAGGGGGACAGACTGAGCAGCGAGAAGGGGGAGGATTATGCAAAAGCTATTTTAATCATCTCCAGTTAATAGGAAGAAAGCGAGGCCTAAAAAACCCCCAGCTAATGGGCCTCACTGTGGAATAAGGTGTGTGTGTGTGTGTGTGTATGTGTGTGTGTGCGTGTGTCCTACGTGGTGAGGAGTTGGGACTGGGCAGTGCCCAGGGCATAATGTAAACAACATATTTCTTTCTCTAGGAAATCGGGTCTATATGCATCCGGATTCCCCCAACACGGGGGCTCACTGGATGCGCCAAGAAATCTCTTTTGGAAAATTAAAACTTACAAACAACAAAGGAGCTTCAAACAACAATGGGCAGGTCAGTGGCTCAAGCGCTCCTTCCCGCCCCCCCCCCACCCCCACACGTCTCTCGCTAGCATCCAGTCCATTAGTTTAAATCAGCATGAGAAAATGGACATATGTTTTTTTTCTTCATTAACAAGCCTTTTTCAAAATTTTATTTCCACCCTCCTATAAAGTTATTCTTGCCCCCCGCCCAATTCCCGAGTTCCCGACCTTCCCAAGAACTGTACAAATACTCGATTGATTTCGAGAAGGAAACCCACAGGATCGGAGGTTGTAAAAATCTTTGTTCCTCCTAAAAGGAGGGCTAGGCGGATCGGGAGGCCCTGACGACCAGGAAATCGGGTTCGGTTTTCCTCCGGTGCTCCGCTGATCTTTGCTCGGGGAGGAACCAGGGCTGGTCCTGCCCCAGCTAGCAAGTCACCAGCCAAACGAGTCCCGCGGTCAGTTAGCCGGGGCGGCGGGCTCCAGCCAGCCCCGGCACGGCCCGCGGCCCCAGCCCAGCGCACACTGACCGCGCTAACGCGCCGCCCTGCGCTCCTCTTTCTTTCCGCCGGACAGATGGTGGTTTTACAATCCTTGCACAAGTATCAGCCCCGCCTGCATGTGGTCGAAGTGAACGAGGACGGCACGGAGGACACCAGCCAGCCTGGCCGCGTGCAGACATTCACTTTCCCCGAGACCCAGTTCATCGCCGTCACCGCCTACCAGAACACCGATGTAAGGAGGCCTGGGGGCTGGGCGCGCGGCGGGCGGCTGCGGCTTCGCCCCGCACCAGCCCGCAGCCCCGGCCATCCCCGGTTCGGGCACTAACATCAGCAACAGCTGGTTCTGGTGCGCCTTTTAGGCGGAGGGCTAGGGGCCTGATGGGCACCTTCTCTGAATACCTTGCGGGTGGGAAAACGCTTCCTATTCGTCTCCATCGCGGGTCACACGGGCCATCTTTGAGGGGCCCAGGATTTCTAGTAGGGTCTCTTTTGGGAATTTTAATTCAGTTCTCAAACTAGAAGAGATTTAAATTTGCTTTCTCCCCCCGCCCCCCTACCCAAGACTCTTTTTTTTTTTTTTTTTTTTTTTGGAGTCCTTCTTCCATTTAGAGAAGAAGCAGATTTTCTCCTGCATTTTTATTATTGGCAAGTTTTGGCATTATCTAAAAATAATTAATTAATTAATTAAATTCTCAGAATTGATGGCTAAAATAAACAAACGTCACTTTTTGGGCGATCAAAAGAACAGACACATTCATATATCTAAAAAGTACAATAAATCGAATTACTGGAAGCTGTGGAGTGAGTTTTTTTAGCACTTGAACCTCTTCAACACTTGCAAGTTCGCCAAAACTTATTTTACTTCTGTTGATTTGACGAGTAGGAGTGACGGTGTTTTTTTTTTTTTTTAACTTAAATGGAAGTATCAAAAATGAAAATATGCATTTATTTTAAATTAAAGATGATTTTAAGATGCAGTTATGGGTTCTTGAGGTTGTGAATCAGAAGTGACCAACTTTTTAAAAATGTGGTGAAACACTTAAAATAGGCAACATTTGGTGATGAATTCAAGTGCCCCTTAAAGATTTGTCTTTTTGTAACAAGTATTTTTAAAATGTGCATGTGAGCTGACCTAGAACACGTGGGAGAGCTAATTGAAAGCAATCCTTTAGTGTTAGGCATCATTAATTTAAACATGTTCCTCATAACTTTCATGAAACGTTCTCTTTTTTCCCTTTCTATTCATTCCCTCCAATTTTTCCCTTGCTCCCTAATGAAATTGTGGGCCACAGACCCCTGTAAAAAGTGGTGATACATTCATAAACACCTAATCCACCTACACAGAAGGTGAGACCATATTAATCTTTTTTTTTTTTTTTTTGTCTTTTCTAGATCACACAATTGAAAATAGATCACAACCCCTTTGCAAAAGGATTTCGGGATAATTATGACACGTAAGTAGTTTTGCACCTTCCTTCTCAAATAGTTGTGGAATTGGGCTTTAGGTCAAAGGTGTATTGTTCTGTACAAGGCTGTTGGAAGCTCAAGTGTGCGAAGACAAGTCTGTTTCCAAGGTCTTCCCTTGCCTTTTTGTGGGCTCCCTTTCTTTCTGGTGACTTTCTGGCTTGGTGTTTTTGTGGTTTGGGTCAAAGATTTCCTCCACTTATTTTTATCTTTCTTATGAATTACAAAGTTGTTGGCGGGCCTCTGGGGCTGGCTGACTGGTGAAGCTGCCTGGGTTCCTGGGTGCGGGAGCTGTACGTGTCGCTGCAGATGCTCAGCTCAGATTGTCTGTGTCTGAAACCGCCTGATTCTGCCGGAAAGTGCATGTGGCTCTGGCAGTTGTTACATTCTTCTTGGCATATGTGACTTTTATTTACCCATTTCCAAGTTTTATGTAATAGCTTTTCCTGTGCAAGTTTACTATGGACTGAATAAAAATGTGCACCCACCGTAGGCAAGGTCATGAGCAGAGCCGTTGTTACAGTTATTTCAGGCTTTGGGAAGGACCCAGGTGCTGTTGCTGTGTATTATTTATAAGCTTCAAAAGAAAACTATTTCCTTTTATCTTTTGCATCTAGGCGTGTTTTAATTAAATGTGTTGGTACCCTTTTCTCCAGGCTTCCCTAACTTGTGTCTTTTCTATCAAAATGATGTTCTCTGGGGGACAGCAGAAGATATAAACTTAGTGCTTGTTCTCAGTGCTTGTTCTAGCATTCTTGCTCAGAGTTCAGATATAGTGCCCAAGAGTTCAGATAGTGTTATATAGCAAAATCTAAATCTGGATTGTCGGAATCTCCCCACTTTTATTCTGACCATAAAAGGGAAGGGTACATGAATTTCAATTTCATGGCTTGCATGAAGTGTCTGGGATAGAGCTACAAAGTCGAAGTTGTCTTTGACCAGAAATAGATTAATTTTGTGGAGAAATAGACAAGTGGCTGTTTCTATTCCGTCTCCAGGTAGATAACAAACTTCCTTCCTGATATTTTTTATGAAAAACTAAAAAGAATCGTTGATATTTCCTTGTATAACTGTCAGATGCCTCCCTTAAAAGTAGTTTTGAGGAAGCAAGCCTCATCGAGATGACTCCCCAGAATAAAAACTCAGCTATTCTAGTCCTCACAATCTAAAAATGTGGACCCGGCACTGTGGGAAGTGTGTGGCCCAGGAGGCCAGAGATACTGGTCTCTGTACTAGGGGGTCTTGTAGGTTTTGAGCTTTTAATTCTGTTGTGAACATCTGTTCCAAAGCATTTTATTTTGCACAGATCAATTCGGTAATCCCAAGTGGGTTGGGACCTGGATGGGCATCTAAACTGTATCTTTTGCAGGCTGTTTTTTTTTTTTTCTTTTTAAAATATTGTGGTAAACAGAGAAAATATTTGCACCTTGCTGGTTATGTTCCCTTCCTGCCTCCCTCTACTTATCTGAAGCTGGAATTAAATTTCAGGAGGGAAATTTTGTGTGGTAAGCAGAATGGACCTGCATCACCCTCACCCACCCTTCTCTGGCTGACTTCTGTAGGAAATATCGCTTCTTTTTGTTTCTTAAACTGTATATTTTCCATAAAAGCTTCCTTATCTATACAAATGGAGACTTTAGGTTTAGGGGACAGGGGAGAGCAGAATGGCTTATGCCACCCACCCTTTGCCCTTTTATGCTGATATGTTGAGCATGGATCACTTTTGGAGAAACAGGGTGAGCAGTAAGAGTTCAGGGGGACTAGAAGGTTGCTTGGCCACTCACCAGGGAATCTCTTCCCCCAAGGATTAAGGTCTGACAAGACTGAGGCTCTCTCTCAAAACAGTGTGTTGATTAAAGATTAAAACATTTATGTGTGAGCTAAATAAAAAGGGAGGCATGTGTCTATGTATAGGAGAAAACACTTCTACCAATCTTGATCCAATCTCTGGTTCTTTCTCAATTCTAATGGGATTTTCTAGGCCCAGGGCCTAGATTAATCTTCATTTCACCTACGGTGATTCCCAGTAACACAGTTACTGTCTGTGGGCAAGTTATTTAGCTTCCCTTTGCCTCAGTTTTCTCCTCTGTAAGGTGGGATAATAATGCTACATAACTGGGAGGATTCTTGTGATGGTTAACTAAATTACTATCTATAGTCCTAGACAACAGTGCATGGCACATAGTCAAGTTGTATAAGGGTTAGCTATTATTGGTGGGAGAGTGCTTGGAGGAGCTTGATAATCACTGTGAGAGTTTGTCCCAAAGGTGTTTGTTTGTTCATTCCGTTTTGCTTTTTGTCTTTTTTTAAATTTTAATTTTTATTTACTTACTATTATTATTATTATTTATCAGTAATGGTTCAAAAGCTAGGACAAGGTCAGCATACAGAACCTTTTTTCTTAGAGCCCCTGGCTGGCTCAGTCAGTAGAGCATGTGACTCTTGATCTTGGGTTCCACTCTTGACTCTTGATCTCATGTGGTCAGTTCAAGCCCCATGTTGGGCGTAAAGCTTACTTTACAAAAAAAAAAAAAAAATGTATATATACCTTTTCTTTGTAAAAGAATTTTATTGACTGATGACTTCATTTCCAAGTAGTAATTCTTGTTATTATTGGTAGAGGTGGGGGTTAAAGGATCACACGGAGGAAACAATGGACAGTAAATACTGTGGAGGCTGCCAGCAGCAGTCCTCGAGTCTCAGAAGACTGGTGAAGCCCAGTCTTTGATGATTACTACCTGGATAGCCTACGTGTCTATCAAATGGAAGAAAGTGTTCTTCAGAGTGAAAAAATGGGAATCTTGTTTAGAAATATTGCCCAGAAACTCTCACTGCACAGAAAAGGCCCACTGAGCAAATAACACCGTAGTCCCTGGGCAAATCTGCCCTAATGTTCCTACAGACATTGGAGAAGTGGGATGAGACTCCCCTGCTGTGCTCCGCTCTCTGATCCCCTGTACAGCTTTCAAGAGAGAGGGGACAGGCGAGCCTTCCTCTTGATCTGTGTTTTGCCTAGCTCCCTGAGTAGACAAATCGACCTCTTTCCAATTGCACGATTTATTTTATTTTGGGGAGAACGTCGGTCTGTGACCTTTTTGTCCGTCTCCACCCTGGACCGCAAGTTACAGATGGAGATTGTGGGGGTGGGCTAAAAGTGGAGGTGGCCTTCCCTTTGCCTCCCGAGGGGACCTCTCTGCCACCCCTCGGTTCTCTCTCTCTCTCCTTCCCTCGCAGGATCTACACTGGCTGCGACATGGACCGCCTGACCCCCTCGCCCAACGATTCCCCGCGCTCGCAGATCGTGCCCGGGGCCCGTTACGCTATGGCCGGCTCTTTCCTGCAGGACCAGTTCGTGAGCAACTACGCCAAGGCCCGCTTCCACCCGGGTGCGGGCGCGGGCCCCGGGCCGGGTACGGACCGCAGTGTGCCCCACACCAACGGGCTGCTGTCGCCGCAGCAGGCCGAGGACCCGGGCGCGCCGTCGCCGCAGCGCTGGTTTGTGACCCCGGCCAACAACCGGCTGGACTTCGCCGCCTCGGCCTACGACACAGCCACGGACTTCGCGGGCAACGCGGCCACGCTGCTCTCCTACGCGGCGGCGGGCGTGAAGGCTCTGCCGCTACAGGCGGCGGGCTGCACCGGCCGCCCGCTCGGCTACTACGCCGACCCGTCGGGCTGGGGCGCGCGCAGCCCCCCGCAGTACTGCGGCGCCAAGTCGGGCTCTGTGCTGCCCTGCTGGCCCAACAGCGCCGCGGCCGCCGCGCGCATGGCGGGCGCCAACCCCTATCTGGGCGAGGAGGCCGAGGGCCTGGCTGCCGAGCGCTCGCCGCTACCTCCCGGCACCGCCGAGGACGCCAAGCCCAAGGACCTGTCCGACTCCAGCTGGATCGAGACACCCTCCTCCATCAAGTCCATCGACTCGAGCGACTCGGGGATTTACGAGCAGGCCAAGCGGAGGCGGATCTCACCCGCCGACACGCCGGTGTCCGAGAGCTCGTCGCCGCTCAAGAGCGAGGTGCTGGCCCAGCGGGACTGCGAGAAGAACTGCGCCAAGGACATAGGCGGCTACTACGGCTTCTACTCGCACAGCTAGGCCGGCCCTGCCCGCCCGGCCCCGCGCCCCGCCGCCGCCCGGCCCCCCAGCCAGCCCCTCGCAGCTCTCCCCAGCTCTTCCTCCCCACGGCCCACCTCGCGCTCCCCCTCATGTCACTTGGCCCTCGAATACCGTCTGCGACGAATAAGTACAGGTCTCCGAGTTTGATTTTAACCTTTTTTTGCACAGCAGTTTCTGCAGTTAGCTCACCGACCTTCAACTTTGCTGTAAACCTTTCGGTTTTCCTCCTTAACTCTCCTTCTGTGAAGTTACACTCCTAACAAGCCTCCTCCCTCTCGTCTTTTTCTCACCCTCTCCTTCTCTTTCTTGTAATGAAACTCTTCACCTTTAGGAGACCTGGGCAGTCCTGTCAGGCATCAGCGATTCCGACCCTCCAAGTCTCGGCCTCCCCATTAACCGTAGGATGTTGACTCTAGAACCTGGACCCACCCAGCGCGTCCTTTCTTATCCCCGAGTGGATGGATGGATGGATGGTAGGGATGTTAATAATTTCAGTGGAACAAAGCCTGTGAAATGACTGTATATAGTGTTAATTTATTGTAACGAATGGCTAGTTTTTATTTTCATCGTCAAGGCACAAAACCAGTTCACCGCTTAACCTTTCCATTCTTTTCCTTTCTTTGCCATTTTCTCCACCCCCTCTCCACTTTAAAAAATTGCCTTGTGAGATAATTAACAATATTCTAAGAGGCTCTGGAAACGTGAAATACTTGATAGATAATGATGGGTTTCTCACTTCTCCTCAATCCGTTGCATGAAATAATTACTCTGTGCCTAATGCACATAAGTAGCTAAGGAGAATCCGACAGAACACCTGTAAAGGATAGGTGTCCCCTCATAGGCAAGTCCATTAAGTGGCATGATGCCTGCAAAGCAAAGTTAACTGGAGTTGTATGTCCCACCCCAACCTCCCCCACCCCATAGAGTAGCTCGACATCAGCAATATTATTTTGCCTTATTTGTTTTTCCCCAAAGTGCCAAATCCATTACTGGTCTGTGCAGGTGCCAAATATGCTGACAAACTGTTTCTGAATATCTTTTCAGTCCCCCCCACCTTTATATGCTGTAAATCTTTGTAATGAATATTCTACTAATGATATAGATGACTGAATTGTTGGTAACTATAGTGTAGTCTAGTGAAGATAAATTGTGTGAGTTGTATATTTTACTGCATTTTAGTTTTGAAAATGATTTCCCTGCCACCTAGAAACAGCTGAAATTTGACTTCCTTGGGAAAACACTAGCATTAATGCAAGTAAGACTGGTTTTTCCCCCCTCTAAGTCTTGTTATATTTGATAAGGAGCATTAATCCCCCTGGAAATAGATTAGTAGGATTTCTAATGTTGTGTAGCAAACCTATACTTTTATTTGTATTTTAAAATTAATGTGAAATATGCATCATACACAATATTCAATCTAGATTCCAGTCCATGGGGGGATTTTTCCTAATAGGAATTCAGGGTCTAAACGTGTGTATATTTTGGCTCTTCTGTAAATCTAATGTTGTGATTTTTATATTTGTTTCGTTTTGTCTGTGAACTGAATAATTTATACAAGTACACACTCCATTGAGAAACGTTTTGTTTTTTGCTCGTTTGTATCGTCTGTGTATAACAAGTAAATAAATCTGGTAAAACGCTAATGGTGTTTGAAAGCAGTTTACAGTTTGAAAATAATTTATTATAGGTGACTACTTTTAAGGGTTAAGGAAGTATAGCCCGACCCCACTTGAATATGGGGCAGTCTGTGTAATGGGAATCAGGTCCCATTTCCCACTTGAATTTGTTTTATAGCACTGCCAGTAATTACTTTCTCCTTCTTATTTACAAGTAACTTAGTTCCCTAGGAGTCGAGTTTCACTTTGTTGCACTCTTTTCTTTTTCCAGGAAAATGTAGGCACTTCCTCATCATAGCTATCTGACTTTCTCTGAAGTAGGAAATAATGCGAGCAGGAAAAGGAGGGTCTTAAATAAGGAGTTAAGAATTTCTTTAAATTTCACAGGCGGGAGGCTTTGGGCAAGCGTAGGATGTAACTGAAATGCGTGTCAGAATAGGCTGTTGACCGCAGCTTTAGGCAGATGTCGAACGAAAATCCCGGTCTTTAAATACGAGGCCTTGGAGATGAGTGGCGACTCTGTACATGCAAACACGGAATGGCCTGCATTTCTTGAGCGGGATGTTTCAGGGAGATTGGGCGGGGTTGGAGTGGGGTAAGGACTCAGAGAACAAACTCGGAACGGTCGGTATTTAAGCTTTGAGCTTAAAACTTGCTTTGGAAGGTTATCTGGGGGTTACCACTCCATCTCCTCTATGGTGGAATTCCTGTGCCAGTCCTGCCCAGGCCAGATTCCCATTCCTTGAGAATAAATGCAGAAATATGGATATCCCAGCCGGGGGGCGGGTGGGGGAGGTCGCTGCGTCTTAGTCGAGGAGTCCGCCGAGCTCTGACTTTATCTCGCGGAGAAGCGGTTTTTGTACTTTTGTCTCCAGAGAAAGGAGATCCAGGAAAGAGGCGGAAAATGGTTCAACATTCTTGCTTAGTGTGGGTCAGTTTCAGGTTATGGGACTAAAAGTAGCACCACCTAGAGATTGTCCTGTAACCCCTTTGCAATTGGAGAGATGCAAAGAGACTTCAAAGTTCCAATTAAAATAAAAATTCAGAGGGGGGTATGGGCGAGGGGGACAAAACCGATTTGTTGTTCCTGGACAATTTCGCCACTAGACGGCGTTCCGCGGAGTTTTGTCTGCCACACAGAAAGACGATGGTTGATTTTCCTTTGTGTTTCTTTCACCCTTCCCACACCTAAGACCCGAACGAGGGGACGAAAAGTACAAAACACGGTGCCTGTGTAGCCAGAGAAGTTGAGCAGTGTTTTCGTGTAGTCCCCCACTGGGTCTACGCTCCTGCGAGCCGGCCGCCCCGCGCGGCCGGGGAGGAGGCGCACGTGCGGTCCCGAGGGCGCCAGGGGCGCTGAGGCCCGAGGGCGCGGGGTGCGGGGTGCGGGGGCCGCGCTCCGCCCGCCGCCCTCGGGCCACAGGCTCCGCGAGCAAACGAGCTGCTGTCATGTGCGGAAACGCAGCTCTCAGCAGCCGAGGATAGATTTCACAGGAACGTAGCGCCTTGTACCGAAAGACGCACTTTAGCTGCTATTAGGAAGTACTTTAAAAAATTGGGGAGGTCGTTTCCCTTGCAGCTCTGCCACCATCTCCACCATCTGCTGTGTGGACTGAGTCAGCGTGAGGTAAATTTGCAGCTCCGTGCTCCTCTCGGAGGCAGTGTGCTTTCCCCTTTCAAGCATGATCATTTCTGCTCGCTTTCAGTGTCTTGGGTGTCTGGTGAAGGGACACTGTCGCCGCGTCTGAGAAGCTGCTGCTGTTCCAAGGAAATCGGAGTTTGGATTTGGGAGGGCCTGTGGGAACCAAAGTTCGCGCCCCGGGTTAGATTTCGATTTGCCTTCTGTTCTCCGCGAGGGTAGGGGTCAGGCGAGGACGCGGTCTTCCCCGCAACCTGCAGATAGGCTCAGTTTTCAAAAGTGTGTTTTCAACAGTGTCTTTTCTAAAAGAGACGGGAAGAAAAAAGGCGAGCGTGCGGCGAGCCCTGCATTCTGGCTCACGCCTTCCCGCCACTCGCCCTCCGCGCGATCTTAACTCACTTGCAACCACCCGCTCGGGGCTGAGTGCGGCCGCCGGCCTGCGCTGCTCCAGCCAGGGTGCTGTGCCCTCGGTTCCTAACCTTCGAGGCAGACGTCCTGGATCTGTGTAAAGCAGAGGCGGAGCTAGGGCGCGCTGCGGCGGCGGGCGGCGGGTCCGTGCGGCTCCCGCGGCCGAGGCTGCACTTGCCCTGGGCCTAGCGCCGTCCCTCCGGGCGCCCTAGAGCCCAGACCCGTGGGGGTGCGCGCCTGCAGGAGCTCGGCGGGGAGTGGGGCGGTGCGGGAGGCCTGCTCCCCGACGTGCAGCCTGCGCCGAGGCTCCCCGCGCCGCCGGTGGCCGTGCTCCGGCTGTCCTGGGCCAGTCCAGACAGGGATGCGGGGCGCGGGGCTAGACTGGCAACCCGGGCCCACGTCCAGGCCCGGAGTCCAGGAGACTCTCTCTGCGTTCTCGGAGTCTGGTCCAGCTGGACCGAGACCTTGGCTGTGCCTGAGGGCGCCCTTTCCAGTCTGTAGCTCCTCGAGAGAGCCACGCCAAGGGACCCTCTAGGATTTAGGACCTGACGGCCTTTTAGGCCTAGCAGAAGCTTACTCGTGAGTTTGCTTGCAAAGCTAGGTTGTTTCTGCCTCTTTAGGACTGACTGACATCACCCGAGCTCTTATAATGTAGTAATTTAGATTATACAGAAAACTTTCTGAATCCTCTTACCTCCTGAATTTGTATTTTCTTACAAATCCTACTGCTAAAACTCTTTGACCCACCATTCTGGCGTTGTTAAGTATTTATCTTTTTAGCACTGAAGCTTTCAAGGATGTTCTACTTTCTCTTGGGGGTGCAGGCAAGGAACAAAAGCCTTGTTGCATAGAGACCATTTATACTCCAGCAGAACTTCAAACTCTCTATAGCAATATTGGGGCAACGTGTTTGTGTTCGTGAGTGATTTTATAAAATGTTTGGCCTGTATTCAGGTGCAGCATCTTTTCTGTGTGTGTATTAGTTATATTACCATGTAGGCTTTTTACCCGTGGGGATAGGAAAAAAGTAGAATTTGTGATCCTGAGTGAAAACAAACTGATCTAGATTTCCCAAAGGAAAAGCAGCTATTATTTAGGCAAACTTAGGAAGAAGTCAGCATCTTTTTTTTTTTTTTTGAAGATTTTATTTTTAAGTAGTCTCTAGATCTATCCTGGGGCTCAAACTTACAACCCAGAGATGAAGTCTCATGCTTCATTGACCCAGCAAGCCAGGGGCCAAAGAAGTCAGCACCTTTAAAGACCAGTGATAAGCATTCAACTTAAAAAATACTTAATTTACTCTGGTATGTGGGCAG